TATTTATGAGGATTGGGACATACCCATTAGTGTTCATAGGTACGGTATATAACAGTTATTCTCCCATGTCTGTGGCAAAAAAATGAGAGAATGAGCAAGAATGGATAACTCACTAACACAAACATGAATCATGTGGGTACACCACTCTAAAAAGACCCAGCATCACATTGTCCTCAAGGAAGCAAGAATAAATCTCAATGAAAAAATTGGAGTTATTTTATATGAAAAATAATACTGTTCTCAGATAGTTTTAGACATGTCTTTTACTGGTTTAAAAAAGAAAAAAGAGATAAGAGGATTTCAAACTTATTCCAGCTGTAAAATCTGTATAGGAATTTCATGCAGACAAACATCAAATAAAATAGCCACAGAAAATGCATAGCCCCTACTATAATGAAAAATATCAGCATTTAGTCACTTTTCAATTGTCTCTTCAGTTAATGGTTTTGTGGTTGTTCAGGTTTGGCAGTCTTGCTTTTGCACCAAGTTTTCATAGCTCATGGTAGTAGCCACAATGGTCTGGGAAGGTCTGTTGTGCTTGCCTGTGGTTGCTATACAAACAGGTTTTTCTTAGAGGCGCTTGATCTCTGCTGCTGTTAGAACCTGGGATAGGAGGTTGGTAATAATAAACAAATGGATGCCAAATGAAATTAAAATATTTTTGTTTTTAGCATCTGTAATGATAAAATTAGTAGAAAAGTGAATATGAAATCATAGTCCATTTCACTGACTTGTCAAGTTTTTTTTTTGGAGATGTCACTGACCAACTAATCTGCTAAAAGAGAAAATAGGAAAAGAGATTTGGGATCTAGTGTAACCTTTTTGTTGTGAGCACATGCAGTTAGTCACTTCTAATGTTGTCTCTTGATTGGTTGATTTTACTGTAATCCACTTTTCCGGTTCTTTTCATTTCTGATTTGTGTCTTTTGGCAGTTTTTGCTTGGCTATTGTCTTTGCTACATCATGACAGTTTTATTTACAGATTGGTATTTGGGGAAGAAAGAAGAAGAAAAGAAGAAATATCTTTTTCTGTCATCATCTTTAAATATGTGGTTCTTATATTTTATGTATGTAAATTTTGTTATTTGTTTTGTGTTCACTACAGGTTCACTCACCTATATGTTACTTAATGTCTCTTCTTATTTTACACCATTCTCTTTCTGAGCAACATAATCATTCTAAAATTCAAGCAAACTATACAATATCATAGAGATTAAAAATACATTAGAAATGTTGTGCATAGAATCAAACAGAAAAAAAATTAACAAGGATGATTGAATCCACACTAATTACAAACAACCATAGAATAATAGTCTAAGTGTTGCAATCACAAAACAGAAGATATAAGACAAAAAAAATACTCATTAAAAATTAATTGACAGTGTCTCATTTAATAAATTCAAATAATACTACTTTTAACTCCACTAAAATATGTGAATAAAGATGGCAGTATATCAGGTGTTTTTGGGCACATGGCCGAGTGGTTAGAACATTCATGTTCTCATCATGAAACCCGGGTTCAAATCTCACCATAGTCGGTTTGTCTGCAAGAAGATTACTTCCTGATGTTATCAGACTGGAGGAGTCAATTCCAGCATGCAGCACCTTTGGAAAGTGCCTGAAAACCATACCACAGGTTGATCCAAGTGAGTGAAATTGGGTAGACGGAAACCTTGGGTGGGGTCGTTAATAGCTGTGCTAGCATGAAATCACAAGTCATCATCCCTGAGGGCTGGCCTTGTTCAAATTGTTGATCATGTTAGATAACACACTTTTTCCCAGAAACTGTAACAAAAGTCTGCTCAGCATAGTTGCAGTGTAAACCACAGGTGGGCTCTGTGGGTGTTGAATAAACACAAATGCACCTGAATGAGCGTCTGCAAAAGGAATTGGATAGTGCCCTGGTAGATGGGTATCCTCAAATATGAGTGGCCAGATATACATACATATTGGGCATATAGGAAGAATAAATAATGAAAGCTATTTAATTAGATATGGGTTTCTCTAGTCAGTGTTTGTTGCCTAATTGGTTAGGCAGCTGTCCGAGAAGCTTTCTGTGGAAAAGGAGTAAAAATTGTGAAAATTACTAGAGGGTCAGTCTTTTTTTTTTGTTATCTATACCGTAAAACCACAAATTAATAGTCCTGGAACTAACGGACTCTTAAAACCCTTCAATCTTTATTTAAAGGTATATAGTAACTTAAAAATAAAATACACATACATATATACTGTATTTACATTTATTTACAATAATTTTGTACTGTGTGTTTTTAGGCCACAAAAAAAAGTTCTTCAAATTAACAGGCAAATAGATTTAACAGATGATCCTTCCTATTAGTCCATTAAATTGAAGTTCCAATGTACTGCCAATTGATGAATAAAAAATGATGGTCTGCATGTTGCAATAAAAAAAAAAGCAAAGGAAATTAAATAAGTTCATTACTAATCAAATTAGATTCTTTGTTATTTAAATTTTTTTTTAAAATCATTTTACTTCAAGCAAAGCGATAAAAGCCACTTACATGGAACGGGTTACTAAGAGTGAAAGAAGCAAAATGGATAATAAAAGAACAGAAAACAGAAGATGACATTGAATTTAAATTTCTGAAGATTATTGTTCACTTTTCCCCAGTCAAGTTTGTTCTCCTCAGATTTATTCCACCTATAGATTGTGGCTATCCTCAGGGAGCTGGAAACCCAGCCAGGATTTATTATTGGTGGGTGTAATCTTCACAATATGAGATATGCAGATAACACTGTGTTGATGGCTGACACAGAAAGTGAACTACAGGAACTCATAGGCAGGATAGTAAAAGAAAGCGAGAAAAAAGGACTGTCAACTGCAAGATGGTACAAAGTATGATCATCAACACAAGAAAAAAACCAAGATGCAAATTAAAAATTGGAGGTGTCAACATCAAGCAAATGCAAAAATTTAAATATCTGGGAAGCATTTTAACAGAGGGTGGAAAATGTGACACTGAGATTTTGAACATGCATTGGACTAGCGAAAGATGCCTTCAAAAAGCTAAAGAATGTATTAAGAAACAGAAAAATTTTGTTCAAAACAAAGAAAAGAGTGCAGGATTGCTATGCTGGGCAATCTCTCCACAGGTGAAAAGAAAACTGGAATCAACAGAAATGTGGCTTTACAGAAGGATACTGAGAATTCTGTGGATGAATTGAGGAAGCAGTGAGAAAGTCTTAAAGAAAATGGTAACAAAAAAAAGACTTTATTTACATTATTCGGACTATTGTTCTCATCTTTGTCGCCATATTTATTACGACATTTCAGTCATTGTACGCTTCAGCCTTCTTCAGGTGGTTGGAATGTCAAACTTAACCCTTTATTTCTCTCACTGGGATAGATTGTTCTAGTTCCATGTGCCATGTTTAATAAATGTCAGTTATCAGTTATCTCCTGTTAATTTCATTCTGAAAGTTCTCCACTGCCTTATTGAACTCACACTCTTTGGGTCCTGTCACTGGATCTAACCAATGCCTTTATCCACATGTGGCACAGTGGATAAAGGCGTTGGTTATAGATATAAATGTGTTATAGCATGCTATAAACATGTTATAGGTATAAATGTATAATTAATACCTGATATCATGGTGGATATGGGTTATAGATAGAAACCTACAATTAATACCAGATTTCATGGACATTAATGGACTTATAAAAATAGGTGCCTATAATTAATACCAGATCTTTATAAAGTTACAATAACATTCTTTTTATAAACCTACTGTTATTTTAAAAAAATCCAAAATAAATATACATTTTTTTATAAACCTGTAATTAATACCTGAATTTTATTTTTATAATATTGGATTTTATGGTGAATATTCCTGGGTTAAACAAATATATCAAAAATTTAATTTAATATAGTGATTTCATGGTGGACATTAAGGGTTTATAGAAAGAAACCTGCAAATGATACCAGCTTTCATGGTGGACATGAATGTGTTATCTATAGAAATCTATAATTAATTGTATAATTAATGCTGAAAAGTTCTCAGCTCAATCCATTTCTCAAAATGTAACCAAATAGATATTTTTGAAAAGATTTTTGATCAGGCCAAGATCTTCCTCATATTGCCACAGCAAATCCTAACAGTAACATGGAAATGTAACACTAATCGTGGTTGTATTTTAATGTCAACTGCTTTTGAATCCAGTATAAGTCAGCAATGTTTCCATTTTTCTAATCCTAGTCCATTGGATGGACCATATTTTTGTCCTCCTCCTTTTTAAATTTAGTTGATTTCAGAACTTGCAAACTATTTCTAGTTGAAGGAGAAAAATTTTGATTAAACACTTTATTGCCATTTTTTATCAGCACTAGTTATGGATGCTGGATGTTCAGGTGGCTCAGTGGTTATTGTTACAGAAACTGGAATTGAGAAGCAAAGTTCTAATTCCCGCCAAGTCTGTTGTATTTACACTGATGCCATTTGGAAAATTCTGAATCCAGCTTTCTCCACAATCAGTTGTTAGTTAAATAGAAGAGTAGCCACAGCTTTTTAATCTGGGATGTCAGCCTGTCTATGAGAAAAACTATCATGAATTCAAAACTATTTTCCAAGAATTCATGTAAATTCACAAATAATAAAGAAAAGGTATCAACAGAGAGCTATGGACACCAATATCATGAAGGGGGTAGAATGATATTTAAAAAATATTTATCTAGGATTAAAAACCAGGGAAAAAGGGATTTTTACTCGTTATTGATTCATTTTTTACAGTTTTCCAACTCTTCACAGGTTATGTAAAGCAAGAAAATATTTTTAGATTGTAAGAATTTTTTTAGAGATAATAACGGTTTAGTGAAACAAGTCTTACTAATTAACCTATAGCTGGGGGAAAGAAGAAGTTGATTCATAGCTTTCCTATGGGTATTTGTGTGTAAGTGAATATAATGAACCTAATGAGAATTAGAACTTGGCTCTCTGTTTAACAATCCAAGCTATTATCCACTATACCCACACATCCAAACTTACAGCACCTAGTATTCACAAGACGTCACCCATTTAGATACTGACCAGGCTTAACATTTGCTTAACTTTGGTGATCATATGGGAACTGGTGATGATGTGGCTGTAAGCCTTCTTAGTAGTTAGCAATTAGGACCTATATTACTGAAAGAATTATGTTATCATATAATTGTTTAAAAAATAATTTGTTCCATATGTAGTTTTTCAAAATAATACAATTGTTCTAAAATTCCAATTTGATTTGTTTGTTTAATGGCGTATCAACATCTTATGGGTCATTTAATGCTGAAATTTAAATTTCTTGGGAGCTTTAAAATAATATTAATCCAATATGTTGTTCTGCTTTCACAATTGAACACATGGTAGATGATACTTAACCTTTGTGCATATATATTTTTGTGTGGATATAATTATTAGAGGCAGTGATATGTGTGTTTTGTGTTATAATTTTTTTAAGTTACAGTTTGATTTCTTTAAGAAATTGTAGGATATTATATGGATTACTGTCATGAAAGTCCTCTTTCATGTTAGTTGTTTGGTTAGAGGCATCTCAATACCAAAATTTAAATATTTTGAGCAATTTTATGGCTCCAAGTAAATATATTTTGAACATAATTGTATGCCTTCAACTAAAGATAAAATGTATTGCAGGTATTTTTACTGTAGATATGTATTTTTTGTTATTTTTTTTATACAAAAAAAATGAATTGCTGGTATTTTTACTATAAAAATGTACTTTTATACTTTCATAGTGTTTTATTTTTGTTTGGGGGTTCACTAATGTTGAAACCTAGAGAAGGTTACTGAATTGAATAATCACACAAAGGTTGTTAATGAACGATAATACTTAGGACAAGAACAACACATATAAGATTCACCAGCAGCGTGTAGAAGAAATCATCAACTGCTAGAAGTAAGTCAAGTGAATTCCACAATGAATCTTCAACTGCAGAGCAACATACAGTATTTACTACTGTATTTATGTGAATGGAGACATACTCATTGTCATCCATAGGTATGCTCCAACAACTAATTACCCATAGCTGGAAAACCTAACAGGTGCTACCACTCTAGGTCATGGTGGACCTGGGAACAACAGCAATTAAGAGGTGGTGCCATGCTCTTTAAAACCACCAATCTCCTGATCAGTGATCTTGCTGCAGGATGTAGTTCATTGTCATACCCAGAACTAAAAAAAAAAAATTCCAACTTCAGAAATTTTATGTAATGAAATGAAGTCCTAATTTAACCTTTTAGTACTTGGACATGTTTGCAAAATTTGAAAAAAATCAGTATAAACTGATAAGTTATAAATTGTATTTTACCACAATGTGTAAGCACATATTGTATTTTAGTCTCTTCCGTGTAGATCTTACTTATTATAAAACACAGATTGTGTGCATGTGTGTGTCTGTACGTTTATATATTGGATCTGATTTCCTACATTTTTCAACTGATTTCAACAAAACTTCACAGGACTGCGTAAAATTACCTTGCGGGGGTTCTGACAGTGCCGAAAATTGGAAAAACACAATTGTTTTTGCATGAAATCAATTTGAAAACACGATAAAACACGATTCTGTCGCTAGAATGAAAGAGGAACAACTCATATCGAGTTATACTTATTATGTTGTTTGTGTGTGTGTGTGTTCATTTATATATGGGATCAGATTTCCTACATTTTTCAACCGATTTCAACAAAACTTCACTTTTTTTTTTTGGCAGGTAGTGTTTCTTATTGTCTTGCACACTTTTTCTTTATTTTTACATTCAGAATGCTTTAAATATTCCATTTACAAGACAATTTTTTATAATAAAATTCAATTCAATCAGTAGACTCATAATGATTGAAAACAATGTTTTTGTTTGAGTTTGGGTTTGACCAATTCATAAAAAAAAAAAAAAACAAACTAATTAAGACATGTGTGTCCGTCAACCTTAAACAATAATCTTTGTCAATTTTATTTTTCATTCTTTATAATGGTCGATACTTGATCTATCTCTTATTGTTACATCCCCGGGCAACACCAGGCTCTGCTGCTAGTTATCAATAAAAATAAAACAATCAGAATTAATGCCCTGTTATAAAAAAAAAAAAAACATGTCTTAAATTATATTCCACTAGTTGAACAATGGGCACTAAAAAGTTAAATGTAGTCAGTGTCAGAAAGAATAGTTTTTATTAGCCTTTAATCTTGACATCTTTTGTAATATTTCATTTCAAAGTGAAATACATGCATCATAGATATTCACAAATGATCTTGTATACTCTTAGGCTGATCATTTATGTAAAGTAGAAAGAGGGTTACACTGTGAAGTAAACCTACATTGATCACTTGGGCCTTGGCGGACTTACCTTCAGTGACCTACCTGTTAGAATGGACGATAATTGAGAAGACTCGTCCAGTCATTCCATAGCAAAAGAGATTGCAGAGTAACTCTCTATGCCGCACTTTTTCAAAGGCCTTTGAAATATTTAATGTGATCACCATTGAGATGTATTTGTTGTCTAGTATACACAACTGATTCTTTGTCAGTTTTCCAAGTTTATGAACAAGTTATTGCTCATTGGGATCAAATTTATATAGAAACAGTCCAAACTTCATATTTTTTCTCAAATATTCTGAACCGTTTCACTCATTATCAGGAACTTAAACTTTAAATACCTGATATAGTTGCAAAATTTGACAAAAATCAATAGTAATTGATAAGTTATGAATTGTATTTTACACAATTTGTAAGCAGATATTGTATTTCAGTCATTTCCACATATATTATCAATAAAAATAAAATAATCAAAATTAATGCTTGTCTGATATTAAAAAAAAAACTCTTAAAATATGTTCCACTAGTTGAACAATAGCTTAAAAGGTTAACAAAAAAACAACAGAAAAAAAAAACAAGTTCATTTTTTTCTATTGATCACCACTCAGTTTGACCTGAATGACAATTTTTTTTTAAACTTAGACCAGTTTGAACAGAATTCACCCGGTTTTAATTCAGGTCAGTCAGATCAATCATCTTGGCTCTCTTGAGCCCTTGATCGGCTTAGTCTGTTTTAATTCAGGACATTTAGAAGCTTGAAGCACTATAATACCCCATAAAGATTAGAATAAAACAAAGATGTTTCTCTTTGAGCTCAGACATTCCTCTGAATATTCTCTTAAATATTTTCCTCACAAGCAGAATGTTAACAGCGTTCCTCTTGGTGCTCCACTGGCTTTATTCATATTCTATCCACTGTCTCTTCCACAGCTTACCTGCCTACCTCCTTTTCTGTAGCTGTACTTCTTTGCTTTTTTTGTCTTGTCATCAAGAAAAAGAAAAATTTTCTTTACCAAGGTAGATTCAGGTTGGCTTCTTTTTTTTTTTTTTTTAGTGAAGTTTTTACGATATGGTTTGGGATTGGTTGATACAGTTGTAGTTTGCAAATAGTTCCAGTGGCCAGTGTTCAAGCACAGCTTTTAAAAAAAAACAAAATGTGTAATACTGATTTTCTTGAAAGATAATCAAAAGACTATCTTTGTACTCGTTCCTTGCCTCTGTGCCATGCTCATCCAAACTAAGTTAGTCCTGGATATGATAATAAACTACATCTATTAGCAAGGCCTCTAACCAGGAGATTAGAGGTTCTAAAGAGCCTGGAAACACATCTTAATTGCTGTTGTTCCTAGGTCTACACTATGGGCAAATATTGAACCACCAAACAAAAAAAAAAACATTATGAAAATAAAAAAATATATATTTATAGTAAAAATGCTTGCAATACATATTTATATAGTAAAATTACCAATAATACATATTTATAGCAAAAATACCCATAATACATATTTACCAAACAAAAAAAAAAAACATTATGAAAATAAAAAAATATATATTTATAGAAAAAATAGCCATAATACATATTTATATAGTAAAATTACCAACAATACATTTTATCTGTAATTGAAGGCATACAATTGCATTCAAAATATTTAGATTTCAGCATTAAATAACCCATAGAGGCGAAACAAACTCAACCAACTAATCTAAATTAAGTTTCTTTTGATTTTCCTGCAGCAAGGTGATTGTTGGTATGCTTTTTAAATCCCAGCCAGTGCCATTAGGTCCATTTTCATACAAATATCTTTTATAAAAATATGAATCTTTTTCTTCACCTCCCAGCTATGGGTAAAATAATAAGGCAGACTGTGTTCTCTAGCCTTGTTTGGATAACTGAATTCGAAGTCAATTGGGTGTAAAACTAACTACTCCACCTTGTTAAAGGTCCCCTTGCTACAGAAACCACAACAGTAGCTAGGAGTGAGAAGGACTTGTCTCTCTACTTTTGTTTGATTAAAAAAAAAAAGAAGCTTTCTGTTGTATAGGAAGACTGACTAACTTTCTCTACACTTCTCATTGAAACATAGATTTGTCCATCTGCTAAAAGTAGAATGTCTGCTCATGAAACAGGGGCAAAAAGTGCACTGCAAATGTGTAGCACTTCCAAATCATGTGCTTGCCACTTTGAACTACAGCTTTCTCACTCCAGGTTCTCAGCTGATTAAAACCTTCTTCATTTAACCTTTTGTTCCAGTGTTTTCCTTACAGTGTTTTGAGGAGAGTAAAACCACCTCTTAATTGCTGGTGTTCCCAGGTCCACCCTGACCCGGAGTGGTAGCACCTGTTTGGGTTCCAGCTATGGGCAAATAGTTAACTATTACAAGCAATACAATTTTGAAGGAAAAGTATTACCAGAAATAGATTTTTAACAAAACAAAATATTACCAGCAATAAAATTTGTCAGCATTATATAACCCATTGAGTTTGATATGTCATAAAATAAAATAAACCAAACCAATCTAAACCAAAGAATACATATTGTATTCATACAAATCTATCATAAAAATGTTGTTGGAATTTTTCTTATTAAAATTAAAAGTGTACCCCAGAGTTTTAGTTATTCAACTAAAATTCAAGTGTGCCCCGAAGTAAAAAAAGTTTGAAAAATACTTAGTGGATTAAAGTGTTGGATTGTGAATGATAATCTACCCCCATGGATTAAATAAAGGGTATGTTTTGAAATACACTGAATTAATAGATACTTGAGGAAGGAGACCAGGGG